GTCTGGGCCCTGCAGCCGGGGCACGGGCGGTCTCCAGCACCCTAAGTAGCTCCTCACAGACCCTCAGTACTCCCGGAGTGCCGTCCCTGCAGCCCTCAGCACTCCAGGGGTCTGGTCCCCTCAGACCGGGTACAAGCGGGCTCCAGCATCCTCAGTACCCCCCGGCTCACATCTCCTCATCCCAGACACCAGCTAGGGCTCCCGTCCCCTCAATGCCAAGCACAGCAGGGCAGCCACGTTCCCTTCTCAGCCCGGGCACCGCCAAACTCCCCCAACGCCCCCCGGCTCTCCACCGGACCGGTCTCCCGGGATAGTGATCTCCTGTGCAGGTGCCAGGCTGGTGCAGGGGGTCCCCGCCCATCAAGGGACTGCCACATGTCAGTGGGTAAAAAAGAAAAAACAATTTATTGTGCAATCTGTATCTTTTGTCCCAAGCAACACACACCTCCTGACAACATAAATAGAAGTACTGGACCGGCGGTGAGTGTGATGACCCTTCCATTAAGGGGAAGGTTCCTTTGGGATCGCAGCAATGGAAGATGCTGGTTCCTCAGAGAAGGGCTACAAGGCCTGGTTTCCATCAACACCGACAGTGTAGCACAGGTCTGGGCAGCACACAAATACACATACACAGATTCCTGTTTGGGGTGGCACCTGCCATGCACAGTGTGATCACATTGAACACACCTGAGCACCAGCCACGGGCTCTGTGCATTTCTGTATCCCCTTTGCTCCCGAGCAGGGCTTTCCCAGGGCCGAGAGCTTCAGAACTCCAGCATCACCATGGCACCACCAAGACAACAGCAAGGAGATGGGTGGCTGCTCCCAAGGCAAAGGATCACAAATGCTCACAGCCTCCTTCAGTGGTACAACCTGGCTTCTGGTGGTAGAAGATATTTCTTCAGTCCAGCCGCCCTGCATGGCCCAGAAGGAGCTGCAAGCAGAAGTGCCCACCCATGAGCTCCTTGCCTCCTCCAGCCCAAATCTCGGCTTTGGAGCTTTTCTTCTCAAAGCCACTTTTGTGGTAAAGGTGTACATAAAAGCTCTAAGCGAAAAGTTCCATCTCATAACTGCTTCCTTGCACTGGCCCAGGGGTCCACAGGCTGGCTAACCCTCCTGTAATCCATGGGGTAACACTCATAGAGGAGTATCAGGGAACCATGTGGCTTCTTGTGTCCTGCAAAGACATCACTGACATCAGTGACACTGGCCCATACGGAGTGGGCTGCCTGCCTGGACAGGGGACAGGGCGGTCCTGTCCATGATGGCTGGGGTGAGACCAGGAAATAAGTGGGGAAGGGGGTCTCACAGGAGCTTGGCACCAGAGCCCATGCTGTGAGCAGGTCTCCTGCATCTGAGGCTCTGCTGCAGAGAGATGGCACTGGGCAGAGTACTGCCATGGGATCATCACCTGGAGAAGGTCCTGGGCACTTCTGCCCTCCCAGCACCCTGGCAGCCAGCACTAGAGCTGGGTGAGCCTGCTGGCACCCTGGGATAGAGTATCTTGGCAAGCACATGGCATAAGCTGGGGAAGTCCTCTAGACCAAGGCAGCCAGCACAGAAATGGGGAACTATAGTGTGGAACATTCACTCCAGCAGAGCTGATGGGGTTGGGGCAGACTGGCACTTCTGACCCCCCCACCCCTTTGGTCCCCAGCTCAGCATGGCTCCTGTCTGCAGATGGGGTGGTAGTGACACTGTGCCAGGACAGGACCTTGGCACTGACCAGGGTGGGGTCGCAGAAGCCACAAAAGCCATGGCAGGACACGCTGTGCCCCTCCCAGGAATCTGGGGAGAAGTAGGTTGTCATGGCTCCCCACGCCCCACACTGGGGAAGCAATGGCTCCTTCCACCCTGGGGCTCCCCCTCCCAAAATAAAGACCCCAAAAATGGCAAGTGGCAGCAAGAGACATGTTTGGGAGAGCCAGCCCCCACACTGCCCCTGTCATGGCTCCCCCACCGCTACTCAAAAGACAGTAAGTCGGGGTGGGTCCCCTCCACCTCCCAGCCAGGGGTACGTGGCTCCGGCCTCCCTGTGCTCCCTGGTGGCTCATGCTCCAGCCTTGGTTTCTGTGAGGGCTTCTCTGTGGGGGGTGACATCTCGGTGGCCCTCTCACCCACTCGCCACTGGCTCTCCTGGCTGCCCTTATGAATGAGGTCGGGCACGGGTAGGGCACCAGTGGGCTGCTTCCCGCTGGGCTCTGGGGTGCTTGTCGTGCTGGGTACCCCAGGGCATTCTGGAGAGGATGGGTCTCCCGTATCCAGCTGCTCCTCTGCAAGGTCAGGGTGGGCTGTGGGTGGTTCTGGAGGCTCCTCTGTGCCAATCCTTGTACTGGTCTCCTCTGGCTGTGGAGCAATGAGCATGTCCTGTGGGGTCTTCAGGGCACGTGGTGTCCGCTTCTTGGTGATAGGGGGCGGGGGGTCCAGCCGGGGAAAGGCATCCAGCTCCACAGCCCTGCAAGCACAGAGGGAAAGTCACATACAGCCCCATGCTGAGGCCTCTCCAGCCTGTCCCAGTGGCCCCGCCATGGGGTGCACAATGCAGGACACTCACCCGTCCTCGACAGCCAGCTGTGCTGTGCCCAGCATGGCACCCACGCCGGCGTTCGCCTCCATCGCTCCCACGCTGGGGAGGCCAGCGGGCTCCTTTCGGCGCAGGAGGTCGTTCACCTTGGCCCCCATGGCCTTGCCCAGGTTGCGGAGGTGTTGGCTGCTGGCGGGGCGGGAGGGCTGTGGCAGAGTGCCCGCCGAGGAAGGGACGTGCTGCAGCCGCGGGGTGGGTGCCGTGCTGGCGCTGGTGTTCTCAAACATGCTCTGGTCCACTGGAGGGGGAAGGGAACAGAGATGGGATGTAAGCCGGGCTGGAAGGGCGATCCCAGCAAGGACAGCTGGCCTGAAGCTGCCTGCCAGCAGCATAGGAATGCAATCTTGGGGTCAGGGAGGCTGCTCCTTCAGCCCCGTGGAGGCTGTGGGCAGCCAGGCCATGCCAGGGCTGCATGCATAGGGGACAGCATGGGGCAAGATAGGGTAGCAGTGAGCCCAGGGCTCCAGGCTGGCACTGCCAACACACCGAGAGCTTCTCTTACCTGACACCAAACGACTTGGAAAGCAGGTTGTGGAAAGAAAGAGAGAGCATTTACCAAGGGAATGGCAAGGGGAAGGCCTGTCCCTTCCACACTGCCAGGTGGGGTGTGCTGCCAACCCTCTGCCTGGACCTGCCACGCTACCTTGTGGAGATGGGACTCATGTGGTGTCATGTCACTCAGGCCCTGGCAAAGCTGCAGGGGCTGCAGTGGGGGCACCCACAGCCTGGGCTCTGCACTGGCCACCCCACCAAGGCTCCCTCAGCCCAGCCCAGCCCAGACTGGGTCTGTGTGGTGGGTGGCAGTGGGTACTTTCTGGGGACCCAGTGGGTTTCTGCAGTCACACCCCACCTCTGACCTACACTGGTTTCTCCCCCATGTCTTCACAGCAGGACTCCTTGAAGCAGTGGGTGCTGCCCCCAGGAGTGCCAGCTTGGCTCTCCCTGTGATGGCTCCAGCCAGCTGCTGGGTAAGCCTGGTGCTGCCAGGGCCTCAGTGCCCACCAGCCTCCTGTGCCCAACTCCACCTCTGCATCCCAGGGGCATGTACTGGGACAGCCAACCACCTTCGCATCCCATGGAGACAGACACAGAGGAAGGGTTCCCAGCACTGCTTCCAACTCCATGGGGACCAGACTCTTACAGGGACCTCCGACTCACTGCAGGCCCTTTCCCCTGCAGTCTGTGGCCCCACAGTCCTGCTGAACAGCAAGCTCCCTGTCTGCACCCACAGCATCTACCAGTCCTGAAGTTCATCTTACAGCTACTTCATTGCACCAAAGGAGCAACACAGGAGTGCCTGAGTAGCCTCTCCTCCAGCCTGGACACCAGCCCCCAGAAGCGTGAGCAGCCTGACAACCTCTTGTAGAGCATCTGCTCCTCCTCTGACTCCTCAGATGACCCCTAGGCTCCTGAGAGGGACAGGCTTGGCAGCAGCAGAGCCAGCATCATGGTCCAGGACATCCTCACCACTTCCCAGTGGCAGACAGTGCTCCAGCGTGGCTACCAGTGCATGTTGTGTTGCCACATCTTCCCCACATTGTGGTTGGTCAAGACCCAGATCCAGCACAGCTCCCAGGAGGGCTACAGCTGCAACGGGTTCTACTGCAGGCTCAATGCCCTGGGGAAGCAGGAGCTCAAGGCTCAGCAGGCCGCAGCCTCCAGGCTGTCCATGTAGCCCCACCAGCCAAGCAGCCACCACGGGAGGGCACTGCTCCATCGCTCCTGCCAGCGGCAGAATAAATTCTTTTAGGATCAGCCAGCCCCGCCTCTGTGCTGCTCTTCCTAGGCAACACTGCCATCCTTTGAGAGGCTCTTCCCTACTTTTCCTTCCCCAGCAGACAAAAATCTCCTGAGCTCCTAAATGTGCTGCTTAGCATTTCTGCACCTCTGTGGGGAGCTCTGCAGATGTCAGGAACCCACTGGCACCATCAAGCTGTTGGGTCAGCCCTAAGACAAGCTTGCGCTGTGCAGTGGCTGAAGGGGAAGACTGAAACCCTTCTACTCCCAGAGGTATTCAGAGCACCTTACTCTCATGGGTAGCCTGTGGCTGGCACCACAACAGGGGTCCCACAGGGGAGTAGGCTTAGGTTGGAGGGGGTCTGTGCAAGGCCAGAGGATGTTGCTGCTGGTGCTGGCAACCAGCATGGAGGGGGAAGGAAGTACAGAAAGAGAGAGAGTCAGTGAGAAGAAAGAGACAACAGAAAGCCTTTAGAAATAGAAAGATTTATTTAGCAAAAGCCAGTTGACTAATGACAACACCCAAGGGTTAAGTGCACTTACATTGACAGATTGGTTTCCCAGATAGAGTCAACAGTTAGTAATATGACAGTTGTAGGAAAAGAAAGGACAAAAAATATAGCTATAAATCCCCTGTCAAGGTCCATAATAAAAGTGAGAGGCTAGAGAGGCGTCTTGGAGGCAGTGCTGACTTAGGAGGAGGGTCATTTATACATGTACACCTGTGGTGCGGCATGGTGCTGGCAGGTCCCACCCGGCTCCGGTATCACCCCATCAGCCTGCGGGGCACCTGCCACTGTCCCCTGCGGGCAGAGTGCCAGGCAGGAGCCCAAACCCACAGCTGGTCCTGAAGCTCCTCAAGGGACACTGCCTGTGTGTGTGGAGCAGGAATGGACCAGAGCAGTGTCTCAGGAGATGGCTCCTCCCTGCCTGCTTTCTGAGGCAGCCCAGCCTGGAAGAGACCTCTGTCCTACTGCTGCTCCTCCCAGGCTCTCCCTTCATCTGCCCTGTGTGTACAGCTGAGCTCCTGCTGTCCCCTCTGCTGAACAATCTGTCTGCCCACGTGGAAATCCCTCTCCAAGCTCACCCATGCATCCCTACCCTGTCTGCACCATGTCCTGCGTGTGCTGCCATACCCACTTCTTCCTCCTAGCTGGACCAGCCTCCCACCCCATGCTTTCACCTCCAACTGCTGCAAGCTGGCAGTAGGATGCTGGGGTTCCCAGCAGAGGGGCTAGCACACTGCTGTGCCCACAGTGGTATGGGACAGGGCACATGGAGGTAGTGGTGGCCAGACAACAGGAGCACCCACGTACCAAACAACACCCTCTCTCACTCTGCCCCCTCTGTGGCTGGTGCAGGGGCTCCCCTGGACACTAGGGCACTGCTGGGGACACTAAAACATGTCCTTCCTTCCTTTCCACTGGGACTCTCTAGCTCCTCACATCATCCAGCCCTGTCTCGTGGCAGAGGGTACATAGCACAGCTCATACTGACCCCGGGGGTCTCATTCACACCTCACTCCTCAGCAGCCCTCAGTCCCAAGGGGACCCAGGCAGAAAGAAGTGATAGACCTTCCTCAGCAGCCAGGCTAAGCCCTGGAGGAGAGCAAGAGCTGGTGTCAGCCAGGGGGTTAGTTGCAGGCAGATCGAGCAGAGACAGAGCTGGCAAAGGCGAGAGCAGCAGGGAAGCAACAAAGCAAAGCAGAAGCAGGATAGGAGGGAGGATGGGGAGAAAGACAACTGTGCCAATCCCCACCTCATTGAGTGCTTCCACAGGGAGCAGGGCAGACATCAGGACTCTGGTTCATACCCCTTCAGTCATGGCCTCTTAGAGGCTGTAGCACCAGGCAGGTGATAAAAGTGCTTGCAGAAAAGAAACAAGCTCTGGGTCCCTTGGAGGCCCCCACAGATGGCTCTCAGCCAAGAGCATCCTGGGGGCTGGTGGGGGATCCTGAGATCTTGGATCCACTTTTCTGGAGGGTGTAAACCATAGATGTGACAGAGCCCCTCTGCAGACACCAGCAGTTCACTCCCCACTGAGGGGTGGAAGTGTGCTCATCCCTGCAGATACCAGTGCCAGCACTGCAGGCCCCAGCCCTGGTCTGGAGGAAGACAAGTGCTTGGAAATGGGAGGGTTTGTCTATAAGCAAAGCAAGGAGTTTGTGGTGATGGGGGTGCAAGGAAGTGCTTGAAAAAGTGGCTTGAGAGCACCAAAAAGGCTTTGAAACCTGGCAGGTGTGCCAAAGAGCCAAAGGACTAGATGATGTCGGGGAGGACACTCCATAGCCCAGTGCTGCATTCCTGGCTCCCTGCTCCACACTGATTTGTGCCACCTTCTCTGTCCCACAGCCTGGGAAAGAAGTGGCTGTGCCTGCATGCCCTCCACCTGCCTCAGGCAGGGACAAACTCTGTCCTAGAAGTGCCACATCACCCTGCAAGAACTGTCTGCACCTGGCCAGCCTGCGCAACCTCATCTTACCCCATCAACTCCTTTCCAGGCTCGTCCCCACTGTCCCTCTATGCCTCACCTCTCACTCACAGACCCACTACAACAGTGCACTGTCACCAACCCTAACATAGCATGACCCTATCCTTGTCTTCCACCCTGCCCACAATACAGAGAGCCAGACCACCTGCCAGCCACTCTGTCCTTGCTCACCACCCCAGCGTTCCCCCCTTGGTCCCTCTTGTCCCTGCTCCCTGCCCTGCATCTCCTCTCTTGTTCCCTCCGAAAAATCCTTCCTCTCCTTTACTGCTTCCCCAGCAGCAGGAGGGGCTAATCCAGCAGGGAGTCCCCCTTGCTTCTGCCCCACCTGGACACACAGTTTGTGGGGGGGTGAGAGCCAGGGGGGAGCACAAGGAGCTGTCAGCTCACTGTCAGCTGAGAAGCAGGGATGCTCCAGCTCAGCACACAAGCCCATGCATGCTGGAGCACAGCACGCCCAGCACACTCCCTCAGCACGACTCCACCTAACCCCTGCATATCTCCTGACTGGGTGCTGGAAGCCTCACACTCCCCCCTCCACCCCGCTCCCTCCGGGCTGTCCCATCCCTGCCAGGGCCACTGGGCTATGGCCAGGGTCTGTCCCAGCTCTGGCAGGTCCTGGCTGCTCCGCACCACCTCCTGCTGACCCCCCTACACCGCGATCTCGTCCTCCAGGCTATCACCCAGGTCCTGCCTGGGCTGGACGTGGAGCAGGCGTGGTGGTTCCTCCTGGGACCAGGAGTCACGCTCCTCACTCTCGTCCGTGTTGGACTCGTACTCGGAGGCGATGCCCGACTCGCGGAACTTGATGAGCTCCAGGCTGCCCAGCGGTGGCTCTGGGGCAGGTGGCCCCGAGTCCGGCAGAAAGCGGTAGCACTCCAGCTTCACCAGACAGTCGTTCCTACCTATGGGACTGCCCAGGGTGCTGGGGAAAGCTGAGCTGGGGCCCAGCGGCGGCGGGTGGGTGTCCTCGGGCTGCGGGGTGATCGGGTCGCAGAGGACAGGGAGGACGTTGGAGCGGAAGGTGATCTCCAGCAGACTGTCCTGGGAGCCTGCTGCAAGAGAAGGGCATGGCTGAGAGGCCTAGCTTGCCTGGGCGTCCCCTGGCTACCATGGCTGGCTGCACACTGCCCAGAGGAGGACAGGCTGGGGCCACTTGGCTACCAACCTCCCTACTGCCACTGTTGAGAGGGGCGTATTTGGTGTTACTGCTGCTGACCAACAAAGAGCCAGTTCTGCAGGACAGAACGTTAACTGTCTCCTACCCCAGCTCCTGCAGGGAGCTGATGGCCACATCTGCTGGAGAGGAAGGTCAAGAAGGGGCTCTTGGGCAGGTATGGAGCTGGCCTAGAGCATGCAGCCACTGGGGAAAGCAGACATACAGCTGATGGAGGTAGGTAAGTACCTGTCCATACAGCCCTCCCCAAGCCCCATCCCACACGGCATGCAAGCACCCTGCTGCACATGCACAAGCCTGGCCAGAAGGGCACAAATATCCCTCTAAACAAAACGAATGGAAACACACAAAAAACCCCCACAGAAACACCCATGTGCATGTGCCTCACAGCGGTTGCTAGAAGTGAGGGGAGAAGAAGTGACGGGAGCGCTTACTCG